AGGGCATTCTCTTAGCTGGTGAGCTGCCTGAGGCAGAGACTGCCGTGATGCTTCTTTGCATAATCAAGCATTAAGTGCCAGCAGTATACCAGGCACTGAGCTAGGCACTAGGAACTCCCTGCCCAGGCTTGGGAAATGAACACATGAATGCCCACTGGCCAAAAACCCTCTGACGAAGAGTCAAAGGCTCCTTGACAGGAGCCTGCTTGGGGTTTAGGCTCTGCTACTAACTAGCTGTGTGATCTTAGGAAACTTAAGCTAAGACCTGCCCACATCAGGAAACAGACCATGATCTTGGGCAGGGTGGGTGGCCAGGCTGGTCGAAGGCAGGCAAAGCAAGACTTATAATTTAGCATGAGCTAAACCTCAAAAGAAGACGAGAAGGGTTCTGACCTAGGCTGAGAGGCCTCAGGAGCAGGAGGTGGATGGAGGAGCTCAGAGGCAGAACTGGAAGACAAGCTCCCCACTTGGCTGAACTGTCCCTAGGGACCCCACTGGCAGAAGCCCTAACAGCACTGCCAGCCCAAGCCCAAGGTGCTGAAGGACTTGGGGACATTCATATGTCACTGCAGCTGAGTCTGGGGACCTTGGAGGACCATCAGGTGCCCTCCCTCAGTGTCTGGACAGAGGAGTGGCTCCCAACCTTGGGAGGAAGCCTCAGGGAAACAGAGGTAAGATCAGAAGAGAGTCCCCCCAGGTACCACCGTGCCAGCCTGCAGGTGGGTGAGCTTTCCTTCCTGAAATGCCAGTGCTGTGGGTAGTGAACAAGCAATGCTTCTTTGCCTATGCTCTTGATGGCTTTTGTCAGGAATTCCAAACCTGCCCTGGGACCCAGGAGCAGCTGGAGGCCTCGAACTGGCAGTACAGACTCTCCACTGCACTGCACACCTGGGTCCACCTGCCCTGCATTGTCTGGGCTCCGGGCCCTTCTGGCTCCTGCTCCATCTCCCCATTCCATTTTCTCCTTTTCTTCAGGCCAGGAAACCTTGGGTGCTCGCAAAAGATCTTTAGGTTTCAGACAGTTCTGTAACGTCTTCAATTTGGCCCGGGAGTGAACCTAGGGCTGGGAGACTGACCGGAAATTCTGTCCCGGGAATCACTGTAGACAAATCACTTCTCCACTCAGCCTCAATTTTCTCATCTGTAAAATGAGGACTCAGATTCAATTATTTTCTTTATTGCCCATTTAAAAATTATATTTGTTACATTAATTATTAGTCTATGGCCTATCGATTATATATCATCTGTAACAAAAAATGTATTAAATGAACAAAAGTTCAAGATAAAAATTTTCCATGATCTATTCTGTGAAATGACATCAGTATATGTGTTGGTTTCTGGCATCTTCCAGCTCTGATCCAGGTTCATATTCAGTTTTAATGGCTTTACAGTAATATCACACATGGGAATTTATATTTAACATTTTCAGTCAACATTTTACCCTAAGCATTACTTTTCCTTCTCTTTTTCCTACCTCGGTCTTTTTTCCCGGCTCTCGTCCGCTGAGGTAGCCAATGTTAATAGTTTAGTTTGCATTCATATATAAATAGAGTACGCACGCATAGAATTTGCATTTGGTGAGAGGAGTCATTGTTTATTTTATAAAATTGGAATCACTCTTCATATATTTCGCTGCAACTTGCTTTTCTCATTTAACAATATGTTGTGGAAATCCATCCGGACTGAGAGATAGAGTGCTAACTAGTTCTTTTTTAATAGGTGGCATCATTGCATGCTATGGTTGAACGTATTACAGTGTATTCAACCATTTTCTGATTGATGGGGATGGGGCTGTTTCCATTATTCCCCCTCCACCACCATCACACTAAAAGCAATGCTTCTGTTGAAGAGTCAGACTCTACTGTAAAGTATTTGGAGAGATTTATTCTGAACCAAATATGATCGACCATGGCCTGCAGCACAGTCTCAAGAGGGCCTAAGAACATGTGACCAAAGCAGTTGGGCTGCAGCTTGGTTTTACACATTTTAGGAAGACATGAGACATCTGTCACCTATATAAGTGAGACTGAACCAAGGTGTACATTGGTTCAATCTGGAAAGGTGGGACAACTTGGAATATGGTCGGAGCTTCCAGGTCATAGGTAGATTCAAACATTTTCTGATTGGCAATTTGTTGAAAAGAGTTGTTATTATCGACCTGCAATCAGTAGAAGGGAGTGTCTGGGTTAAAATAAGGATGTGGAAACCAAGATTCTTCTTGTGCAGATGAAGCCTCCAGGTACTGGCTTCAGAGAGAGTAGGTTGTAAATTTTTCTTACCAGAATTAAAAAGGTGCCAGACTCTTAACTGATTTTCTCCTGGATCAGGAAAAAGACTTGGAAAGGGAAGAGGATTCGCTACAGCATGTAGATTTTCCTCCCAAGAGACAGCTTTACGGGGCCATTTCAAAATATACACAAGAAATATATTTTGCTGTGAAATACTTCCATTTCTTTCAAGGCCTGCTGTCATGTGATGCTCTGCTAGAGTCAGGTTGGAATTTGCTAGAAATTGTGTCTTATTGCTACAAAGAGTCTGTTTCATCACTCTTAAGATCTCTGTTTTAACGTTAATATTGGTCAGCTGTGCCTGAATTCCTACGGGAAGAGGGGATAAGGAGGCAGGTCCTGCCCCCACTGCCCATCAAGGCCTGAGCTAGTTTTTCAAGTTTCTTTGGAATGCCCTTGGCTAAGAAGGGGGTCCATTCAGTCAACTGGGGGCTTAGAATTTTATTTTTGGTTTACATTTCCGTAAACATTTCATAATTCACATCTACACAGATAATGGTTCAGGGCACCCCCTCCCCACATCCTCACAGCACTCATAGTTAGAAGTCTTTTTAATGTGTACCAACCAGTCTGATAAATGAGAAATGGCATCCCAGCGTGACTTTAATTTGCATTTTCCTATTTACTAGTAAGCATCTTTCCATTGGCTATGAACTTGTTCTTAACGTGAGTTTGTGTGGCAGAATTGTATCGATGAGGTAAGGCCTATTTGTTGGCTCTTTAGATTTCTCATTGCTATCCCTATCCTTTGCTTGTTTTTTTCTGCTGGGTTTGTCTTTGCACTATGAATGTGCTGGAGCTCAGGGCAGGGTATTAACTTGCCTTCTGTCATACGTTTTGCACATATATTTTCCTAGTCTATCATTCGCCTTTTGATGTCCTAGAGTATTTGTTTTCATACAGACTTTTTTTTCATTTTAATGTAGTCAGACATGTTTCTCTTTCTTTTTAATGGCTTTTCAGTTTCCTGTTTTGTTTTTTAAATCTCCCCAATACATAAGGTATATTACTGTTTCCTTCTGATTTTTTCCTTTTCATTTTTCTCATTTAAACATATAACCTTTCTGAATTTATTTTTGTCAAATTAAGGTTGGCTCAGACAGGTGTGATGGGTCACACCTGTAATCCCAGTGCTTTAGGAGGCCAAGGTGGGAGGATTGCTTGAGGCCAGGAGTTCGAGGCCAGACTGGACAACATACTGAGACTTCTGTCTCTACAAAGTTTTTCTATAATTAGCTGGGACTGGTGGCACATACCTGTAGCTGAGACAGGAGGATTGCTTGAGCCAGAAGGCTGAGGTTACAGTGAGCTATGATCACACCACCGCACTCCAGCCTGGGCAATAGAGTGAAGCTCTGTCTCTGAAAAAAAAAAACAACACAAAAATTAAGATAGCCTCCCGTGTTACTTTCCTCCGTGCAGATAGCCAAATTCAGCATTTCCCATCTACACTCTCAGACCCTGGGCTCCCCAGAGGTGCCTGGGAGGGGGCTACCAAATTCAGGACGAGGAGGTCTGGGAAGTGGCACAAATGCCCCGTCCCCCAGCCATGGAGCTGTTCTGCTTTTGTTGTTTTACAAAATAGGCTTCCAGTAAGGATTTGGTTTGGACAAAGTGTTCTGAAGCTGAAGGAATTTTGAAAATCCCTTTCAGATGATCTCTGGGGGCCCTTCCAAGTTTGACATTCTCTGACTCGATAATGCCCAGGATGGCAACTGCTTATTAAGGAAGAGAAGGCAAAGGGTCGGTGTATCGTTATCCAAAAGTAATTTCAATATTAAATCCCAGGTTGGCTCAAAGTGGATTTTAGAATCACAGCATTTTAGAGGTGGAAGGGACGTTGGAAATCCTCTAGTCTAGTGCCTCTCAATCCTGGCTGCCTGTAGAATCACCTGGGAGGTTTTTTTTTTTTTTTTTTTTTTTTAAGTCCTAGTACCCTGGACTCACGCCAGACCACGTAATTCAGAGTCCCTGGGGGAAGGGAGGGCCCAGCCATACATTTTTTTTAAAAATCTCCCCGTAATTCTAATATACAGTGGGGCTGAGAACGACTTCTCTAGTTCAACTCCCTTATTTCATCAGTAAGTCAGCTGAAGGTGAGCCATGTCTGACACAGCTGGCTAACTGTAGGGTCGGGACTGTTACCCAGATCGCTGCCTCTGGGGTTGCCTTTTTCATCTACACCAAACACCTCATCGAGCACCACTCCTCGGATTTTCAGCTGGCAACACCAAAGTCCCTGTATGAATGTTTCGTATCTTTGCATATGATCAGCTTAAAAGTCTTCACTGCATGCAATTCTGTGCATCCTAAACAAACAGACCGAGTTCTGCGTTGCAGGACCTTGGTGGAGAACAGGATCATAAAGAACAAACTATGATTTAAAAAAGCAGGACTTTTGCTCTAGACACGTGAAAGAGCCTGCTGCAGGGAGCGGGTGAAGAAGTAGTTGCCAAGGAGGTCAAGGAGGCTTCACACAGGAAGTGGCGTTTGAATTGGGCCTAATGGTTGATTGAAGAGGACTTTGATGGACAGAGAATCAGCGCTGCACTCTTGCCCATAGCAGTGACTGGCTGCCTGAGTGTTACACGGGGGGCTTAAAAGGGCAGGGATGGGGGCAGCAAGGTTTCAGGGCAGAAACGCTTTGCTTCCAGGTGGGACGGGGGCCCAGTCTGTTTCAGGCGCTCTGATCTCCCTCTGCTCTGCCCGCAGGAATGAGACCGTGCTGCATCAGTTCTGCTGCCCAGCCGCCGATGCCGAGCAGAAGCCTGCCTGCTCCGACCTGGCCTCCCAAAGGTGGGAACTGTGGCCCTTCCTCCCTTCTGCACCCCCACCTTCCTTCCTAATAGAGCAAAGCACGCACCACTGCACTGGGTATTGGGCCTCCGCCTCTTGAGTCTCATGTGGGGTTGTTTGCTTTCACCTCCTCGGGCTTCCGTTTCTCTCTGCTGCCTCTGGACCCCAGATGGGCCATTTCCAACTTTTAAGGTCATCATACCCTATCGTTCTCATCCCAAACTTACGCTCCTTTCTTCTAAATGGCCCGTGAAAAATCTAATTTTCTAAGCAGCCAGGGAAATTGATTTGATTGAGGATATTCATGTCTCACATAGTAGGGTGCCTGGCACACAGCGGTGTGCACTCAGCCCAGGCATAGTGCCCGGCCTTCCTCTTACATCAAGGATTCATACTTCTCTTTCTAGTTGCTCTTCTTCCACTCAGCCCAGGTGCCTGACTTTAAGCGTAAGGATCTCTCAGCCCTGGCTGCATTAGCTGATAGGCTTGGGATGGGATGAGAGTGTTGAGAAGTCAGGTTTTAGAGCAGGCGTCCCCAAAGTTTTTACACAGGGGGCCAGTTTACTGTCGCTCGGACCGTTGGAGGGCTGCCACATACTGTGCTCCTCTCACTGACCACCAATGAAAGAGGTGCCCCTTCCTGAAGTGCAGCGGGGGGCCGAATAAATGGCCTCAGGGGGCCGCATGCGGCCCACCGGCCGGGCAGTAGTTTGGGGACACCTGTTTTAGAGCCACCCTCCTGAGCTTTCTCCTCTGTTTTTTCCTGGGTTATCCACCCGCCCTCTGCCTCCCTGTCCCCTTCCTGGTGCTCTCCCTCCATCCTGTGATCAGCCTCCTCCCTCTGTACCTGCCCTGTCTCTCTGCCCTGGGGTTTCTCCTCTTCTGTGCCCACACCGTGTTCCCCACCTGCCCTCCGATCTGTGTGCTGTCAGTCTCTCTTGCTCTTTTCTCTTTTCCACCAGTTTGTCTGTCTGCATTCTGCACGTTTCTCTTCTCTTGACTTGTTCCTTACTCTACTTGGATTCTGGCCTGAAATTTGCCTGGTCTCTCAGTGTCCCGTTATGGAGTGAATTTGGGCGAGGTACTCCACTCCCCTGGGCCTCAGTTTCCTCACCTGGATAGTGAAGGGCTTGGTCTGTCTCAAAAGTGGCATTCACCTATCATTCCTTCAAGCCTCTCAGCTGCTCAGTGGGGCCAGACTAAGCAGGTCTTCCTGTCCCTGAAAGATAAGAGGAGGGTATGGCCGAGTGCTGTGGCTCACGCCTATAATCCTAGCACTTTGGGAGGCCGAGGTGGGTGGATCACCTGAGGTCAGGAGTTCAAGACCAGCCTGGCCATCATGGTGAAACCCCACCTAAAAAAAAAAAAAAGAGGAGGGTAAGGGTCGGAGGACCCAGAGACTTGTCCACAGTCACAGAGCAAGGACCAGCACAGCCACGGGAAGCTTAGGGCATCAGACTCCTCATGCGCACTAGTTCCAGATTTAAGATCCAATTATTCTGTAATCTTTCCCCCTTTATCCTCTGGGAAATAACTAGACAGTGATCAGAAGTGGTGGCTAGAGACCTCGGGGCACAGACAAACACCCCAGGAAAGGCATTGCTTGTAGAAGAGTTCAGAGAAAGAGGCAGGGCTCCGAGGAGGACTCAGAGAGGCCAGACACCTTAAGGGACCTTAAATCCAGAGCTGAGGGAGGGGTGGGAGTTCCTGAGGCCAGCCATGTTGAAGATGGGAGGCTGATGCTTGGGGTGTCCTCTGTGACAAGTTTTTGGCCAGGCCTGGGGACATAGAGCCACATAAGGCCAACTTGGACCCTTGAGAAGTTCTCCATGCAGTGGGACATTAGGATGCCCTCAAAGGGAACACGGCTCACCTGGAAATCAGGAGGAAGAAGAGAAATGGGAGACTGAAATAGTCAAGAGAGAAAGGAAGAGCGGAGCATGGTGATGTGGAAGACGCCAGGGCGAGGTGCAGGAAAACCCTGAGAGCCCTGGCCCCTTCCCACGGGCCCTCACTGTTCAGACACATGACCCGGGCCTCCTTCCTAGAAACTGCCTTCCTTGGTAGGGGAGAAGAGAGAAAAGCTCTCGGGCCTGCCTCCAGCCCCACCAATTCGACTCAATTCAGTGAGCATTGTATTGATACTAACCAAGCACCAGGCCTCAGTGAGGATAGATGGCACACCCTTGATAAGCCCAGGCCTGGCAGGGGCGGGCAAGAGAGACTGTCCCTTGGGTTTGCTGTGGTCTCTCCTCCCATCCACTCACAGCCTGCATGCCCACTTATGCCCCAGCACTCCCTTGCTGGCTGCGTGGTGCCCACCTGCAGCCCCAGCTCCAGGTGGGAAGGAATGGAAAAGAGGTGGTCCAGCGGCACCCCAGAAGGTAGGTAGGCGTGGGCAGGGGAGGGTTGCTGCCCTCTCAAGGGGCTAGGGCTCCAAGGGAATAGGGTCATTTTCCAGGGTTTGAGGTAGATGGTAGGAAACCCATGATCTTAGTTTCCAAGAGGTTTGCTGTTCACCTTGTTCACCTTCCCCTGGGAGGTGTGGGCTTTGAGGCTGGGGACTGGTGGTGCTCTGGGGAGGGAGGGTGGGAGGTGGGAGATTCTCTTGACTGTTGGTTCATGGAGGGGCCTATACACCCTGCCTATGGGGGCCCTCCCCCTGGGTGGGGGCAGGGAGACTTTCCCCACCCCCCAGATGGTCTGGCTCCCAGTTATTGCAGGTTGTCCTGTCTGTCTGTCTGCTTTGTAGTATCCTAGAGCCATTTTTGTCTGTCTGTCTGTCTGTCTGATGTGACTTTCTTGGCTTCTCTGGGAGGAGCCCCTCTGCATGTTTTCTGGACAGCCCAACAGTGTATGTGGTTCGCTTTTGGCTTCTTGGGGGAATTCTATCCCAAGATAAGTTTTCCATGATCAGACTCTCAGCCTCCCTACTCCCAACCCTATCACGACTCCTTCACCACCTCTCATCCCTTCCCCTAGACCAGCTGTCCCACCTCCAGAGCATAGCCTCAACTTCCCGGCGATCTCCTCTAGTGGAATGTGTTACAGTCAGAGGCCGGCCTGTGGGGCTGGCACAGGCGGTGGGTCTCGAGCCCTCTGAGGGCACCTGCTACGGGACTCTGGAGCTCTGAGACAAGCCAGGCTCCTCCCCCTATGTCTGGCTCCTCCTCCGTCAGTCTGGCTTCTTCCCTGTCAGTCTGGTTTCCCACTAGCTCAGCCAGTCTGCAGCCGAATCATGGTCTCCTGAGGGTTTCTACCATCAGCAGTTGGCCTCTACAGGAGACCCCAGTAAGGAATCCAAAGCCAGTGAATCAGGTGTCAGGGTCTTTGCTGTGTGGACTCAGCCAGCCACAGGAGCTCCCTGGCCATCCTCCTCTGCACTATGGCTGAGGCCGGCCCCCACTCCAGCTGAGCTGAGCAAGGGTCCCTTTCCTTGAGCTGCCAGGGCCCTCGCTGGGGTGCTGCAGTGGCCAGTCATCTATCTGATCAGCAACGTAGAGACGCTGCTCAGCCCAGGGGAAAGTCTGCTCCCTCCTAGAAAGATCCCAGGGCTGGAAGACAGCCTCGCCCCTGCCGAAAAGGCAGAGAAGCCTCAGCCCTACCGAGGCCAGGACAGCCTTCTCCAGCCACCTGCAGAGGAGCATCTGGTGGCTGGTGTCGGGAAAACTCTTGTCTTGGGGCTGGGAGCCTGCCAGGGAGTGATTGTCCCAGGAGTGGGAAGACTTGAAATTGAGCATGTCTGGAAGCTTGACTGTCTGCAAAGGGAGGCTGAAGGGTGGGCGTCAGTGGTTTGGGGTACAGTGGAGCAGCTATAGGGCTGGCAAAGCCCTCTGAAGCTGGATGACCAGATAGAGTTATTACGGGTTCTGCTGTTCCCTGGTTCCCCACGCCGCCCTAGGAAGACAATCTATGTCTGCCAGGGTAATTAGGAGGTGGGAGCTGGGGATGGTGCCCCCTCCCAGCAGCCAGCCAGGGGGTAGCAACTGTATGCCAGTCTCTTTCTCCCCAGAAAAGATTGCCCCCTGGTCATTGCCCCTACCGATCTCCTCTCTGCTGCCAGCTAATGACAGGGTTTTATTCTGGGGCACTGAATAGGCCAGTAATTGCAGCCCTACTTTCGATCCTGCGGGCTCCCCTCCCTTTCAGGCTCTCAGTGACATTCAGAACAAAACCCGGTAGCTGGCCAGCTGCCTCCCAGCAGAGAGCCCATTTGTCTCCGAGGGTGATAATGGGGCCAAGATGAGGAAGATGGGTTTCTATGAGTGTAATGGGAGGAGGCAGCTGTGGGAGAGAGTGGGGCTCAGGAGAGGGAGGTGCGGCTAAGGCAGCGGAGGCTGGTTTCTTGGGGGAGAAGCGGGCTCAAGACGGGGAGGTGGGCTCAGGAGGGGGGAGGGGGAGGTGGGGCTCAGGAGGAAAGGCGGGGCTCCGGAGGAGAGGCGGAGTTCAGGATGGGGAGGCGGGGCTCAAAGAGGAGGCCGGGCTCAGGGGGGAAGGCGGGCTCAGGAGGGAAGGTGCTAGGGAGGAAACAGAACAAGTCCTAGGCCTCCGGAGCAAGAAGGGATCTGAGTAGGGATCTGGGGCGCTGTGAACCTCTGCCAACTGAAGTGACTCACTCCTAGTCCTTGCTCCTTCCTTTTCAACCCACCCCACTCCGAGACGGAGGACACCAATATTTATTGAATGTATGATTTATTGAACATGCCAGGGACATTCTCCTGGGCATTCTTGATATTTTATCTCACGTAATTCTGTGAGATAGGTGTTATTCCCATTTACACATAAGGAATCTAGAATGGAGAGAAGTTAGGTATCTTGACCGAGGGACCACTGCTAATTATTTCCGGAGCTGGACGGTGAACCCAGGTCCAACTGCAATACGCAACCTCTTTTTTCAGAGCTGCTGCTAGAATTCTTTTTTAAGAGCTCAAGAGAAATCCTTCCAGCCATTTCACTGGATCTTAAATAACATCTATTTTCTCTGATTATAGTTGTTGGAA